TAAATAGTTGGTTTTTGTATTTTATAATTTATTTATAACATTTTATGTGGAGTGAATAAATAAAGTATATTTACGTGGCCTCTAGAGACAAAGCACATACAAACTCCAAAACACAATAGAAGTGCTCCAGGATCCTAGTGGCTACAAGCCAGGAAGTACCAATGACCGGATTTGGTCTGTGGTAGTAACAGGTAAATGAACATATTTTTAAATTTATTTGAATATATATGAGTGTTTGTGTATAAATATGCAAACAATACACACATGCTTTCAATTGTGTCATGTAAGTAATCTAGGTAGCTTTATACTTGTTTCGGAGTTTGTATGTGGTTCGTCTCTAGGGGCCACCGTGTATATTTTTGTATAAACATTTATAAATAAAACCACTTTTGTTTACATTAGTAATTCCTTTTGTGCATAATTTTATATTGTTGTTGATAATAAATTAATTAAAGTGACAAAACAACCTGAAGAGCCGAAAGAGCTGGCTCTCTTGTGTCAGAAGCATGTGGTTACGCAGGAAGAGTTTGGCTGCAGACTAATGGCAGAGTTTTCTGTTACAAATTTTACCTTTATGATTTATTTCCCTTGGAGATTTTTTCTTGATCTTGTTCCACACAATCTATCAACAAACATATTTACTCCTTATAGGATGACTGCAACTAAAATACCCCAAATTAAATTCGTTTAGTCTGTAATTTGATGACTTTTCCAAAAAGTGGCCCAAAATACACATGACAAAAATGTTTACAATTGTACATGGGTGTACAGACCTTTGTACACTGAGGCTGTTCCTGGTCAAATTTGACTTGTATCAATAGAGATGGACTTTAGATCCACTGGTGTGGGTCAGATAAAACAGTGTGGTGATTATAGGGATTCTTGAGACTGTGAACTAACTGGAAACTGTCTGTTTGTATAATTTCTGGAACAATGTTAATGTTCAAAGCTGACCTTGACACTGTCACAAGAACTGTCTATGTCCCCACCATATTTGCCCACAGAGACAGAAACCTGCTGGTCTTCGAAGGATCATGGTGGAATCTCCAAACAATGCGTTAGTAAAACAGCACAGAGGTGATCATATCTGATGCACATAAAGAATAGTGACCATGTAAAGGTCAAGGAGAGGGTGCCTTGGCACAGACATGACGCCTGACATGTGGTGGCATGGTGGACTGACAGCATGAAGCTTCCTGGTTCCTTTATAGGTGGAGTTTGCAAATGTACCACGTTACATTTCACTTGCTTCCTCCCACAGTGCAAAGACGTACACGTTAGGCTAATTTAATTCTAGAAAGGATGTGGATGTGAGGTAGATGAAGTGCTTTAGGTGCATAGGGTAAAGTCCTGTATTAATTTATCGCCTGTAAAAAATATAAAGTGTGACTTTGAGTGGTCAGTAAGAATAAAACATAAAAGTGAGTATATTATATTACAGGTGGCAAAGGCCCAGCTCTAAACAGCACGGACAGATCCAGTCCTTAAATGCAACGCAGTAGTTTTAGAACAGAACAGAATTTAACTTTATTGTCATTGCACATGTAACAAGTGCAAGGCAACAAAATGCAGTTTGCATCCATCCAGAAGTGCTTTAGCCATAATATAGATATATTACAATATATATATTAGCAATAATATAGATATACAGATATATTACAGAAAAGGGTCTATTATGGTATGTTATAATGTAAACGGTATGAAGGTATGTTATGAATATGCTATAACTATAAGTATGTACAGGCTATGAACAGGATATAAGTAGGAAAACTATACAGAAATATGAACTATGCAAGTTATAAACAGTTGTAGAATGATATATCGCATTGTTTTGCAGAAGCACTTCATTGAAACACAATTCTAATGCACTTTTACTTAAGTATTTGTACATTTTACCGTGTTATGCTTTGTTCTATATACTAATATATGAACCTGTCTCCATAGCCATGACCACACCCAGCTCATGGCTGCGTGTGTCAAAGTCATCTGGTCTTCCAGGTGGTAGAGTTAACTGAGAGGAAGACAGCTGAGTATGGGAAGTTTGCAGGGGATCGTCTAAGCAGGAGCAGCTATTGCTAGCTCACTGAGGTCCTGCTAAGGTTTTGCCGGGCAGACACTTCCCACTTCAAGCTGTTAGGATTCAGGGGAGTGCACAGTAAGAAGTCTCCTAAATCAGGCGCATCAATATTGCAAAGAGGGCATCAAGTCTGCTGTGGATTAAAAGGGGCAGCCCATGGTTCACATAAGCTAGCTAGATATGAGTTAAATATTCATCAATCAGGCTGGGGCATCTATGGCTTTATTTCCCATCATTGCAGCCACATTAAAAAAATTCTCTAATCATGTGTGAAGATATTACTGGACCAGAAGATGTCACCATTACACAGTTTACTCAACTTTCAAACCACCAGGTTTCTAATATGAGGCACTGCATGATATCAGGAGCTAGCCCAGATTGTAGCATCAGCACTCTGGCACTCTTGGTGGTGAGACGTCATGACCTGCTGTGGTTATTTGACATCTGTTTGAGGTGATGTCACAGCCTGTGGAGCAGAGGTATAATGCCCTGTTTAGTTTGATCTCCTTTGTACGGCTAAAAAAGGCAGCAAGTTTAAGCAGGTAACACTTTTTTAAAAATGTATTTTATTTTTGTTTAATTTGCTTTGACTTATTAAAAAGTTTAATAGTATCTTATGTTAGATTTTTCTAATCTAGACATGTACAAAATCATCCATCAATATATTTATGATACCATATGGTCAGTTTTCAAATGTATTAAATGAAAAAAAGCAAAAGAAAGTATAAAATCGAGAGGGTCTAACTTGCATCATAGAGCAGAAAATTTGTTTATTTATAGATAAAATGGTCAAATCTGAGTAGACAATCACAAATGAATGGGAAAATTACTATGCACAGCTGTAAGTACTGAAAGAAAATCAATTAATATGTACCAGTGAGATTAAGTCTTTTTAATAAAATGCATTTAAAAAATTACACATGCAAAATATTTCAGAGTTTCTGGTTTGCAGAAAACAAATAAAAATTACATTTTCAACCACTCTTTGATATGGCGTACTGCAGGGGTGTCCAACTCCAGGCCTCGAGGGCCGGTGTCCTGCAGGTTTTAGATCT